GTCCTTTTGTTTATAGAATATTTCGTCTTTCCAAATATCTCATTAAGAATAAAAGTGATATATGAAATAAATGGCGATTTTCACGGCAATAACGTTCAATAACGACCGACGATTTAACATGATTCAACACAACTGACTATCGCACGTTATCGCACGACATTGACGGTGCCGGGCGGTGACGCTGATTTGATTGACAAAGAGACGTGTGTTGGTGAACGTACGGAAAACCGAAACAAAATAATTGATTAATTTCAACGACTCAAGGAATTGATTAACCTGCATTCAACAGAATTAATTTAACGCAAATTATAATAAACGCATTTCATTGTTATATTAACATAATGAAAATGGATAAATCTGGAACATTACTGCTTAAAAAAATTCTGTAAAATCATTACAAATAAATAAAAATTACTCACTATTCTATTTCATTGTATTGTCAGTTATTGTGATTAATGACTGGTTAATTACATTATTAGTTGCTACTACTTTAGAGATTGAAGTAATGATTTACGATATATTTGTTTATAACAAGAATTTGTTTCTACTTTTTCTTTTGGTTAATGAATGGATAAACTAAACAAAACTTTTATTATATTTTTCATCTTGAATGACTGATATTTTGATTTATGAAGAGTGTGCTATTATCCCTTAGTAAGTTTATTGAAAGAATTGTAATGTACAGTATACGGCAGAAAAATCCACAGATTGGGCAAATATTGTTAGAAAAATGGAAAAACATTCGTTTTACATCAGCGATATAAATTAAATCATTGTTTAAATCTTATGGTTCTTATATACCATGTAAATGTAAATAAATAAAGTTTTTTAACTGAAAACAGTTTTGGCACAAATTTCGATTCATGCTGTAACATTTCCATCTTCATAAGTTCTAAGCATGACCTCTCTAGACCGCAGGGCTTTTAATCGATTTCGCGGGAAGTAATTTAAATTGTTTTTAAAGTTAATCGTCTTTCATATAGGCAACCCATTTTACTGTAGTATGCAGGGTAACGGTATAATTCCAGCATGTTATAGTAGTAACTACTCCATTAAACTATTGTTCTTCGAGTTTTATTAATAAAAGAGAAATGGCTTATTTACTGATCTTGTATATCTAAAATGGGTAAAGGTCTAGATGAAGGACCGAAAGAGGAGGTCTCCCCCACCAATGTACCATAAAAAGTTCGTGGCGGTCTCACCCCCATAAAAAGTTATGGGGATTCAAAGTTAATAAATATGCCAATTTTTATACATTTCTAGGCATGTAAATATTTATATAGTCATTCTTAAACAATATTCAAAGGTAAAACTAATGAAAAATACATAAAAATATTGAGAAAGTTATATAAAACATTATTTAAATATCTTTATCAATAGGGTAGGTTAGGTTAGGTTATCGGGTTTTGTTCAAGTGACCACTCTCTTTCGATCCCCCACCTCCACCCGCTTGAAAATAATTATTGTACTGAATTTTATTTGAATTATAGTATATGAAAATTGTCAAAATAATCAACTTTCAACCCCCATAACTTTTTATGGGTTTGAGACCGCCACGAACTTTTTATGGTACAGTGGTGGGGGATACCTCTTCATGTAGACATTTACACTAATTTAATTATTGCATAATTAGGCTTTACCAGCGACTTCGCTCACGTTTATGTCCTACATTTGTTTCAAAGATCATTGACGACCGCATGAAATTAATTTTTTTATCCCGCAGGAATCGTAATTTTTTCTAGATAAAAGGTTCCGTACGTCCTTTTCTGTATCCCTAACAATGTGTGTACAAGTAAAGCATTCCTTACCGCAAATCAAATTGAAACATCAGATCCATCTATACCTAAATGTTTGAAAATACCAGTTCGGGGGAATCCCAAATCAGTATCGCTTAATTGTTATAGACAAGTACACAGATGCATATTATACACGAAAAATATATACAAACATAATATATTGAGTAAAACAGAAAAAAGCGCACGTTAAATTACGATGAGATGCAAGCTACCCACACCACTACTAAAGGGGATGATTATGTAAAAAAGTACGTAGAATTTAATGGTACCATCAGATTTCGAGTGCGACTTCAAATAAGTGCGCTACTGAATTATTTATGTTTAATACAGAGAATACTGAGTAAAACAGAAAAAAGCGCACGTTAAATTACGATGAGATGCAAGCTACCCACACCACTACTAAAGGGGATAATTATGTAAAAAAGTACGTAGAATTTAATGGTACCATCAGATTTCGAGTGCGACTTCAAATAAGTGCGCTACTGAATTATTTATGTTTAATACAGAGAATACTGAGTAAAACAGAAAAAAGCGCACGTTAAATTACGATGAGATGCAAGCTACCCACACCACTACTAAAGGGGATGATTATGTAAAAAAGTACGTAGAATTTAATGGTACCATCAGATTTCGAGTGCGACTTCAAATAAGTGCGCTACTGAATTATTTATGTTTAATACAGAGAATACTGAGTAAAACAGAAAAAAGCGCACGTTAAATTACGATGAGATGCAAGCTACCCACACCACTACTAAAGGGGATGATTATGTAAAAAAGTACGTAGAATTTAATGGTACCATCAGATTTCGAGTGCGACTTCAAATAAGTGCGCTACTGAATTATTTATGTTTAATACAGAGAATACTGAGTAAAACAGAAAAAAGCGCACGTTAAATTACGATGAGATGCAAGCTACCCACACCACTACTAAAGGGGATGATTATGTAAAAAAGTACGTAGAATTTAATGGTACCATCAGATTTCGAGTGCGACTTCAAATAAGTGCGCTACTGAATTATTTATGTTTAATACAGAGAATACTGAGTAAAACAGAAAAAAGCGCACGTTAAATTACGATGAGATGCAAGCTACCCACACCACTACTAAAGGGGATGATTATGTAAAAAAGTACGTAGAATTTAATGGTACCATCAGATTTCGAGTGCGACTTCAAATAAGTGCGCTACTGAATTATTTATGTTTAATACAGAGAATACTGAGTAAAACAGAAAAAAGCGCACGTTAAATTACGATGAGATGCAAGCTACCCACACCACTACTAAAGGGGATGATTATGTAAAAAAGTACGTAGAATTTAATGGTACCATCAGATTTCGAGTGCGACTTCAAATAAGTGCGCTACTGAATTATTTATGTTTAATACAGAGAATACTGAGTAAAACAGAAAAAAGCGCACGTTAAATTACGATGAGATGCAAGCTACCCACACCACTACTAAAGGGGATGATTATGTAAAAAAGTACGTAGAATTTAATGGTACCATCAGATTTCGAGTGCGACTTCAAATAAGTGCGCTACTGAATTATTTATGTTTAATACAGAGAATACTGAGTAAAACAGAAAAAAGCGCACGTTAAATTACGATGAGATGCAAGCTACCCACACCACTACTAAAGGGGATGATTATGTAAAAAAGTACGTAGAATTTAATGGTACCATCAGATTTCGAGTGCGACTTCAAATAAGTGCGCTACTGAATTATTTATGTTTAATACAGAGAATACTGAGTAAAACAGAAAAAAGCGCACGTTAAATTACGATGAGATGCAAGCTACCCACACCACTACTAAAGGGGATGATTATGTAAAAAAGTACGTAGAATTTAATGGTACCATCAGATTTCGAGTGCGACTTCAAATAAGTGCGCTACTGAATTATTTATGTTTAATACAGAGAATACTGAGTAAAACAGAAAAAAGCGCACGTTAAATTACGATGAGATGCAAGCTACCCACACCACTACTAAAGGGGATGATTATGTAAAAAAGTACGTAGAATTTAATGGTACCATCAGATTTCGAGTGCGACTTCAAATAAGTGCGCTACTGAATTATTTATGTTTAATACAGAGAATACTGAGTAAAACAGAAAAAAGCGCACGTTAAATTACGATGAGATGCAAGCTACCCACACCACNATATATATATATAAGTATCTCCTTATCTAGATCAACATGTAACACAATATTTAGTTGCAGTTGCATATATTGAAAAATAAACACGAGCATAAATGGATAGACAATTGTTATCAATGCTATTAATAACGACTTGATAACATATAGATGACAAGGGTCATTCAGTACGTATGCTACATACGTGTATGACCAACACTTATCTGTATATGCACATATAACAATATAAATTACTTTTAATGTTCACAATCAACTACTATTATTTCTACAAAATGTTAGAACTGCAACTTTCAAACAATAGTCGAGCCAAATGAGGGAAATGACTGAAGAGTACCTTCTAATGATGAGAAAATGATTGAAGTATGAGTCATTTTATCGGAAATTTCGTGAGGAACACGAATATGTAAATGAAAATTAACTGAAAGTAATATATGTATCTTATTACCGTTAATAGATACAAAAAAAATGTAAAATGCGAATTTGTTTCGTTTAGACTGCTGCAAATTTTGATGCAAAAAGTAACGCATTTGGACAATTCTTAACGGACTTATAGCAATTTAAACATTTAATTGTTTAAAAAAACAATGAAATAATTTTTTCTCAGAAAAGATAGTTTAACCGATTACGATCAGTTACGAATCGATTAAATTACCAATTTTAAATTTTTAATAATTATTTTGAATATTTGAAAACATTTCGCGAATTTTGAGGCCTCTTTGCCATTGGGCGCGCAGTTCTATGAGAGATATGAAAAAAAGTCATCAATACTTTTTTTTGCAAAATGGTATTGCGAAAAACTTTTATTGAAACTTTTTTTCCATATCTTTCATACTAATATATAAGATAATCGAATTTGCAGTTATTTTTGCGGATTTTCTCCCCCTATATGCCGGGAAAATAATTTTCATTTACATATTTGTGTTCTTCACGAAATTTCCAATAAAATGACCCGTGTTTCAATCATTTTCTCCATTATAAGATACTCCTCGGCCATTTCCCTCATTTGACTGGACTACAAACGCAAATGTAAATTAATAGATCTAGTTTAAAAACGAAATAAACCTTAATCTTTTAGAATTCCGTTGTTTCGTCAAAAAACTCCAAAAGAAGTAATGTTGAATTCGGACAATTTGAATTTCTTAACTGAACACGGCTATTCGCTGGATTGGTTCAAACCACACCATAAAAATCATACACGGACAAATGACTCGATAGCATTATACAGATTTTTGGACGTAAGTTTTCTTGTCAATTTACTACTTAAATCTTCTTACTTTCTTGATATGGACACTTTGAAAGGTACGTAGTAAAAAAGAGACAAATATGCTATAGGGTAATGGAAAGAAGTAGATAAATAACGTACGCTAAGGTCTCTATCAATCATTAAGGTGAATTAATTTTTACAACTACAAATAACCTTAAATTAATGACGAAAAATTCTTACTGTTATCACACCTGCGCCGGGAATCGAACCCTGGGGCCTGGCTTTACGCGCCATTGCCCTTTCACTAAGCTACGAGTAGTGACAGCAGCTACATCGTCGTTGTTACACAAAATTCTTCTACAAAGGATCCCTCTATTTCGTGTTTAGGGTCGGTGTTCCACTTTAATATTTCAATTCCATGAGTAACTATTTAAAATTATTACATATGTACCCGACGATCTATTTATTCTATTTTAAATGTCTACGAACTGTACGTTTATGAAAATACTACATTTCCTGTTTGTACCAATGCAATTACAATAGTACTTTTGAAAATAAAAAAATGAAGTTTTTATTACGCCTTTTACTTTAAGACCGAATTTTATGGTAAGATCGTTGTTGGTTCGCCAGGGAAAACTTTCAATATGGTATTCGATACCGCTTGGAGAGACTCATGGATTATGTCAAGTGACTGTACTTGGAAAAAGATTGGTTGTTGTAAGTTTAAAATCTATCTTACTACTATATCAAGCGTTAGTATCTTATTTGTTAATTGACTATCCAAACCAAAGGGATCCACAACAAATATAACCATGGTGGTTCCTCATCATACAGGGCCAATGGAGCAAAATTTTCCGCAAAGGAACAAGAATATACCTTGGAAGGGTACTATTCCTATGATGATTTCTCGGTAGGTTAAAATGTTACGTGTAAAATGATTTTATTGTTTTTTATAATTACTACGTTAGGTATAGATGTACAGGGGCAAAAGGTCGGTATGCTTAGATTTGCAGATGATGTAGCAGTATTAGTTAGAAATAGCCTTAAATAAAATAGAAGTGGTATTGGCAAAACAGTATTGTATGAAAATTAATAAAAATAAAACAAAAATACTGGTATGCAAGGAAGGAAAAAGTAGGGAAAAAGCGAATATAAAGATAGGAAACAAAAAACTAGAAGAAGCGGTTGATTTTAGGTATCTATAGTAGGAAGTCAGATAACTCAGGATAGAAGGAGTAGTAGAAATTACTTCTATGCTCGCGAATGGTTAATTTAGACATTCGAAAAAGATTGTTAAAGGTGTATGTCTAAAGCGCAGCGCTGTACGGGTGCGAAACTTGGACGGTGGGGGCTACAGAAAAGGCTAGAAGCTTTTAAAATGTGATGTCACAGGCGAATAGAGAAGGCTGAAAATGAAGAGGTATTAGAAAGAATAGGACAGAGATCTCTATAGAAGTCAATAAGAAGTAGGCAAGATGGGTTGTAAGATACCTTCTCAGGCATGAAGGGCTACTTACGGACATTGGTAGCAGACACAGGAGTTAAGAAGAGTAAAAGTAGCTCTAGATTACATTACTGTCAAAATGAGGAGGTGTTAGAAATGAATAGGAGAACAGAGGTCACTATAGAAGTCGATCAAAAAATAGGCGAGATAGGTATCCTCTCAGGTATGAAGGACTAGTTAGAGACATTAGTAGCAGACACAGGAGTTAAGAGGAGTAGAAGCAGCCCTAGATTACATTACTGTTACGCATATCGGATGTTCTAGTTTTAGGTTAACGGAAAGGTAAGCTCAGAATAAAAAAAAGAGAAGGTGCGTGTCCAACCAGTCTTAGGACTGACGATCCAATGATGATAATGAATTGCTACTTAAATAAATTGAGGTATTGCTCTTATAGATTGCTCATTCAAAGGTGGAAGGTCAATTGTTTGTTGAAATGACCAGTGTACCCTACACTTATCTTTTTTCTAAAGCAGATGGTGTAATTGGAATGGGTTTTAAAACTGACAGTAACAATCCCTTCTTCTATAACATCTTAAATCAGACTAATATAAGCAAACCTCTATTTAGTATCTACCTTAACAGGTTAGTTTTAGAGAAATATGTTTATTAGTATTAATGTTAATGCTGTTTTTGGGATTTTCAGTACTAATAAGTTTTATACTTTATCCAAAGTCAGCCATTTTTGAACATGGCATCTATTTGTTCTAAACCCAAATTCGTCTTTAAGTTTTTTGACGTACATAGAAAAGTTTTTTTTATGATAAGGGAGCAACAAAATGTAGAGTTTTATTACCGTGCTTCTTCTCTTATGTATTTTCAATTTTAGAGATAAACAATCTAACAGAGGCGGTAATATAATTCTTGGTGCAATCGATGAGAAACATATTCACGTTACCGACAAGAAACCTGATCAAATTACATATCTTCCTGTTGATAAAAGTAGTGGTTGGTGGCAATTCAAAATGGATAGGTAAATGTAGTTATGCTTTGTTTGTTACTTTTGAAAATACGAAGGAGTCAAATTATGTTGCAGAATTGATCTCGCAATTACAAAAGACATTTTGATCACATATTGCAAAAATGGTTGTTCGGCTATTGCTGACAGTTCTTCCAACAATATTGTGGGGCCCAAAGACGAAGTCGAAAAGATTTTTAAGCAAATACATGCAACGGAATTATTTTTTGGTTTCTACAAAGTGAGTAAAAAAAGGAAGCTATTTAGGTAGAACTTACTGTAACAATAAAATTACTTGCAGGTTGATTGCGATACGGTGAACAAGCTTCCGCGTATACATTTTATAATTGGAGGAAAAAATTTTACTCTAAAGGGAGAAAATTACGTACAAAAGGTATGTTTTTGAAGTGAAACTTCTTTACGCACGGTAGGGTAAGTTCGTTTCATGCTAGTTGCTATGTAACGAAGTCATGCAACGGATGTCCCCCCTCTATTCCGCCAAGTAGTCGAGTTCGTAGCGGGGATCGCTTGAGCCGTGAGCGCGCTTCAATACAACGTTCGTTACAGGCAACTCCGGCATGTATAGTGTAAAATTTAAATTCACAGTGTACAAATAAAACCATTAAACCAATTCTTTAACCCCTATCCAGGTATGTTTGAAGAAGTTTCACTTCAGTAGCGTGTTGTATAATTACACGTTGTGTTTTATTCTTTTTTGGGATAGATTATAATTGAATTTTCGGTTTTAAAGAAAATGCAAAACAATCAAAGGGAGTTATGTACGCTTCTTACAGATATTTACAGATAACTATAGTAGGTGTATCATAGTGCTTGACAAGGCTTCACCAAGGTATACTGCCAGTTACTTGATAATAATCAATTTGATTGTATAGAGCAACTTCAGTTCAAATGCTCACTATCTGTTACGCATGGTATGATATGTTGCGATCCGGATGTGATACGTCGTAAATCCGGAATCTATAGTTGCTCTCTACTCCATTTTTTGTTGACGTCATATATACCAAGTTTGCGCCGCAAAGTTATATTTTTTATTTCTAAAGTGCACTACAATTTGTTTCTAATTTGTCGCTGACCGATTTTATCACGAATCCAATCACGAGTTGATTGGAGATCCGTCAAGCTGACAATCCACAGACTTAGTGTATCTTAAAATACAAATGGTGTAGAGAGATGCTGTAAGGTCTATAATTTGTCACTGACACATTTTGTCACGAATCCTATCTCCAGTCTATCAGCAGATGACGATTGAAGATCGGTCAAGCTGACAATCTACAGACCTAGTGTATCATAAAATACTAATGGTGTAGGGAGATGTTGTAAGGTCTATAATTTGTCGCTGACACATTTTGTCACGAATCCTATCTCCAGTCTATCAGCAGATGACGATCGGAGACCCATCTAGCTGACATTAGACAAACATAGCGTATCTCGAAATACGAATGGTCCAGACAGATATTGTAAGGTCTATAATTTGTCACTGACACATTTTGTCACGAATCCTATCTCCAGTCTATCAGCAGATGACGATTGGAGACCCATCTAGCTGACATTAGACAAACATAGCGTATCTCGAAATACGAATGGTCCAGACAGATATTGTAAGGTCTATAATTTGTCACTGACGCATTTTGTCACGAATCCAATCTCTAGTCTATCAGCGAATGACGATTGAAGATCGGTCAAGCACAGACCTAGTGTATCATAAAATACTAATGGTGTAGGGAGATGCTGTAAGGTCTATAATTTGTCGCTGACCAATGTAAGGTCTATAATTTGTCGCTGACCCAGTTTTTCACGAATCCAATCTCCAGTCTATCAGCAAATGACGACTGGAGATCCGTCAAGCTGGTATTACACAAACCTAGCGTATCTCGAAATACGAATGGTCCAGACAGATGTTGTAAGGTCTAGTATTTGTCACTGACTCATTTTGTCACGAATCCATTCTCGAGCTGACGATTGGAGATCCGTCAAGCTGACATTATACAAGCATAGCGCATTTCGGATACAAATGGTATAGAGAGATACTGTAAGGGCTTTAATTTGTCGCTGACTTATTTTGGTTTCTTTTAAATGGATTTCCGCTGATAAGTTCGAGGCTGGACTTGCGATAAAATGAGTACCACCTTTCAGTGATAAAATAACAAAAAATTACAGTCTTTTTCCACGTCGTTTCTTGATAAAATGGGTTAGCGACAAATTATAACCCTCACAGTTTCTTTCTACACCATTTGTTTTTCGAAATACGCTATTTTTCCACTGGACAACTAGAGGGTAAACTATATTTTTCAGTAATCAGCTGGAGAGACAAACTTGGTAACAAATTAGTGACAAATTATGGTATACTCTAAATATGAGAAGTACCATGCTGGCCTGATATATGATTACTCGTTCTGTGTATAAATATGTTTACCAGTAGTATGTAAAGCAATCGTTTCATTTACATAGTCGTGTATTTTACAGCTGTCATGGAATTCCTTCATGCTCTGTATCACATCGTTCGTTGCGTCAAACACAACGAACTTGTGGGTACTAGGAGGTGCATTCCTGTCGGAATTTTATAGTATTTACGACATTGAACATCTTCAACTTGGATTGGTGAAGGCAGCCTAATCTCGTCTCCAAATTAGTGCTACACATAGTATATTATAGATAAATAATCATATTTGTTGTAATCCATGACTGAACTAAATGCGTTCTCTCTAAGGACATCGACTTCATTGTAGCTGTGGTACCGGCTCGATATTGTGTACTCACTTGCACAATATATTTCTATTCTTTTATAATTTTGTAACGTATTTCTCCATTGTAGAAATTTAATAGAAAATAAATAAACAAAAAGTTTATCACTTTAATTCATGGCGGTATCTAATTATTATTAGAGGGCGTATGCGATGGGTCAATGACCAAAACATCATAAGGGAAAATCGCCACTGGACAAACATAAAAAATTATACAACATTACTGATGAGGCTCCGAGGCGGTCGTAATGCCGAAAGGTAATAATATTTAGGTATTTATTGGATTTAATCGAACACACCTTTCTTGAATGCAAGACGCAAGCGCGGCGTCTCGACGCTGGCCAGGACGCCTGGTGAAAGTCCGTATGGGCTTCCAGTGCGTTTCCAGATCTGTGTAAGTGTGTAATCCAGGATCGTTTTTCCAGACGCTATCTGACAGGTAAGTTGCAAATTTATAAATAATAAACAAACGCATACGATTTGTAAAATTCGCGTCGTGTTGTTGAATGGAAAATTTAATTTTCTTTTTCTATTTTACACATTATCTGCACATACTTTTTAATCGAGAATCACAAATAAAGCTACAGGTTACTTTAGTACGTAATACGTACTTTTACTTTCAAAACCCTTCAGCAGTGGTGGTGGTGGTAGTCACCACTATTGTTAATGGAATAGTCGAAAGGGTTAATTAGTTTGTTAATTTACAACTTTGTTATATAAAGAAAATAATGGTGCAAACGTAGAAAACCAACAGGTAAGTAGAAAGAATAAAAAAGCTCTCTGAAGCCAACTTATTTTCGAAAAGCTCATTATAGTGTAGTGATTATTGGTTCAGCATGGTTAATTTATCTTATATAACTGCGGATGGAGAAACTAGAAGTCATAAAACAAAGAATAAAGAAGAGTATTAGAGCCACTTTTAACAAAAACAAATCAGTAGATCAGTTCTGTGCTTGTGAACGATTAATTTGAACATTCAAAAAAGTATAACATTGAGGTAGGTGCGGTTTCGTACGAGTGCGAAACATGGATGATGGGTGCTTAGGTTAAGTGTGGTGTTATAGGCGGATGATGAGTGGGAAAACAGAGGGCGCTATGGAAGCCAAGGGCTGGTGAGAGACTTGATAGAAGTAGAATCAAGACTTAGGAAAAACAGAAGAAGATCTAGATCAGATTGCTGGAGTTGTGAAGATTCATTTAGAATAGGAATCCCTATTTTACCTATCTGAATTGTGCTCCTACACTTTTCCAGCGTGTGACCCGATAAAGCTGGACATACGCGTCACATTTCGATTAATTCAAGAATCAGAATTATTTTCACAAAAGATATACTGAAACCTTATAAAAATGCACGCAGCCCTACATCTAAACATAGTTACATACGTGCATCTATTAAAAAGATTAGCGACATAACCTAATTAAAAATGCATTATTATTTAACCGTCACTATGCGCCGTTCTATTTCTGCTGAAAGTTAATTAGAAAGGATTCGATCCTTTTGATGTACAAAATGTAATCTCATTCAGCTCGCCGAAAATGTTATTTTGTCGGAAACATTTGAAGACCATTTTTACAAACTTTTGGCGAACTCAAACCAAATCAGGGTATAAACTGATATAAAACCGATCACCAATGTTCCGCTTTAATTTTTTTAACTTTAAAACTTACCATGACTTACAAAGACTCACAACACAGTGATGTTAGCAGTGGCGTATCCAAGGAGGAGGAAATAGGGAAAACCCTCGCAAGAGCTTCATAGCTTAGTAATGTCAAAAGTGCTGGATTTGTTCCTGAATACGCCCCCGATGTTGGCTTTATATCAACAAAAAGTATAAAACCTTCTTTGGCTTGAATTCGTTTCAATATGCATATACTAAAGGGAAGGAATAGTTCAGTTTCTTTATAAGGAGTGACCATTTCCCTACAGAGAATTATCAAAGCTCATATCTACTATTTACATTATAAATATTTTTGTTAGAGAGTTTACACTTCAATTAAAAATAAAGGTTTTGAAAACAACATTCTTGTTTCATATTTTTTTTTGTTGCCTTTGCAAATACTAACGAATTTAGTGAAAGAAGCCAGATAAATCTTCAATTAAAAAAATACATAGGTAGATATCTATAATAGTTAAATACAAAATTGGTTTTTGAAAAAAATAATAAAATGAGAGCTCCTGTTTATGAAAGCGGTCGATAATTTTATTTTTGGAATATGATAGAACTGATATTCTACGAAAAAAAGAATCTAATTAGAGAAGAGCTATTAATAGTTGTTTTCCAATTTTAAAAAATTAGTAAGTATATAGAAACTTGTATCCAAATATTTCAATCACTTTTTACCTGTTATCGTGTTATAACGCCTACAGCAATTTCCACATGTGAAAAAATAAACAGAAAGTTTTTGGAAATACATTTAGTAGTGTTTGAAATTTAAAAATAGAACGTACATAAGTTTATGGTTACAATCCGTTTTTCTTCGATTTTATCCAAAATAGTAATTCATACGTGCTTCTTATACAAACAATTCTTTAATAATTCAAAACAAAGTCGGTAAAATACTATATTTTTCAAATTATAAAGGTTAATCATAAGAAAAGTACAAAACGGCGCATTTCTTATACTTATAACAATGTCTGAATGTATTGTTTCTTTGTCCAAACCTTTAATGGTACTGCTTGTAAAATAATTATTTTGCGTTAATTGTATCGTAGATACTATTTTTAAGAATATTTACTACTAATTATTGTTTATTAATTTTTAAAAATTAACTGTTCTTACCAGTTTATTAGAATAAGTATCGATTAACGAAGCCGTTTCATAAATGCCTAAAGTTCTGGAATATATTTGTATTATAAAACAGTTCATGTTGATCCCCATGGAGAATATAATTGTACTACACATAGAATAGAGGAGTTAGAGATACCTTTAAATGAAATGGAAACAGTACTGTAAAAATAAAACAAAAATCCTGGTATGATAAGGAAGAAGAAGTTAGAAAAGAGCGAATATAAGGATTGAAGTGGCCGATTTTAGGTATCTCGGAAGTCAGATATGTCAGGACGGAATAGGAGAACAGAGGACTCTATGGAAGTCGATAAAAATAGGGGAGATAGGATGGTAGGACACCTTATCAGGCACGAAGGTCTAGTCAGAGACATATTAGAGGCAGAAACGGAAGTTAGGAGGGTAGAGATAGACCTAGATTATGTAGATTACTGTTCGCAAATATTTAAGGATATGGGTTGTTCTAGTTTTAGGGAAATGCAAAAATTAGTTCAGGATAGGAAAGAGTGGATGTGCGTGTCCAACCAGTTTTAGAACTGACGACCTTATGATGGTGATGATACACATACGTAGAATCAGACTACGTCATATTGTACCTCAAACTTTTTACTTCCTGGGTCTTTTTCCTATCATATTTTATAGGGCGTGTACCCATGTAAATTTTGTATGTCTTTGCGACTTCTGATGTACTTTAATACGTACACATAGAATATTTCGAAATCGGTGATTGAAAAGGGTATAAAAATGCCTATAATTAAGTTCAGTCTTACCTTCTAAGTCAGCGAAGTGTTCCTGCTAACATTTTCTTAATCCATAGCTGTCGTTATGATTAATTGTTATTGGTTGATGATTCACGTATCAGTCAATTTCTAGACATTTGTATATCTGAAATCAAAGAATTGTCCGTGTCACATTAAAAGAATAAATCAATATATGATATATCTTTCTAAATAAACTATAGATCTCAAGGAAGTAATTTTGAGAATGCGTGGATTAAATACATGTCCTTTCAGTAGCAAAGCAAAGTTTTATTTGGTAAATTTGGATTAAAATAACAGACCAAAGAAAAGGGAACTTCCGACACAGTTGTTACTATCTTACTTTAGTTGCTGAGAATGCTTGAAACACTTTTAATGTTTCTTGATAACAATGGCGTTTAAAGCAGTTCCACTGACTTTGGTTCTCTTGTGTTTGCGATAAGAACAAGGCTATCTACATTTCAGAAACTTAAAATTTTCTTATCTGCGAAGACAGATTCTCTTTTTAAGCATTTTCTTTGTCTACAAACCAATTTTATGCTCTTCAGTCACGATTAAAACTAGATTATGTGGGGAGATGATCCTTAAAGAGGTTTTAGACGAACAAGGGAATTTTCTTAATTTATGATTAATCTTTTATATAAGTATTAAGTTAATCTGAAGTGTATTCAAGCTACAAAATACACCAAAACTTATAAATTTACAACAGTAGCGAATTAAATTTAACTTGAGTGACGAACTTTTGATAATAGAAATTGATAATGAAATTTTGTAACAAAAAACACTGGGTGTTATTGCACTAAAAGTATTTATCTCAATAATATTGTTTCAACCCTCGCAGGTAACACCTCCTTTAAGAATGACCCACGAGGTTTAACACGATATTGTTGAAAAAATAAATATTTTTAGCGAAACAATCCCAGAAAAGTACGGTTTCATTATACCTAACTGAAGTTAAGATGAAGAGGTGTAGGAATTACACACAAAAAAAACGGAAAAGGATTGGCAAAACCCATTACTTCCTCTATATCCGCCAACAGGACTATTTTTCCTGAAATTGATGGGTTTGTTTTCCTTTTTATACAACTGATAAGTTATAAAATTTACTTTATCCGATTTTATGATCAGTGCGGATGTTTTCTTTATTACTATTTCGCCTATAACATTAAATTTAGTTAAGATATATGGTATTATATGGTATTTGTGGTGTTTACACAGCGTCTATTTTAATCGAAAATCCAAGTAAATCATGTTTTATTTCCTTCTGAATTACCTTTGTAATGTTACGCAACGTTAAATTTTGTATTGTTATTTTTGTCGCTTCTTTTCGGTACGTTTATTCATCCGTCATCTGTTTCTAATTTTTGGAAAATCGAGAACCTGAAGTTGCTTATTAATTTGTTTCACATGCCTGTCACGTATACATATTGTAAACTGCGTCGTACATTCAGTTTAACGGGTACCTTCCCGACTGGAAAAGTTTCTTAAGGCTGGTCCTACAAGCATCCGTGACGGATCCGGATTTACTTTTGTACCTCCCATTGTAGCTTATGATGTATTAAAACTAATGAAGGACCGAGTATTAGTAGTATTAGCATTAGTAACATATTTTAGGGCGTTATATTTCCGATACGGAATAATCAGGGACAAATTATAAAGCCTGATCAGATGTTAAATGTTCTTAAACGGATCCGGACCACAAACATAATATTTAGGTACTTGCCATCACAATAATTTCAAGGGATAAATGATGTTGTTCTTACCATTTTGACAAATGACGAAAGTTTTCTTACCTATATTAAAGCAGCAACAGATAAAAATGACATCGATTTTCATTCACCGTGTTTAAATGACAGTGTAATAAAAATCTGGAAAGTTGCGATTTGTTTGCGAGCTTTGTAGGGCGATTTATCATGCTTAACTGAAATACGTTCCTCATTTGCGAGATTTATCCCTGACAAATACACGTATACTTATACGTTGAGCTGTAGAACTCGAAAGTATTTATAAATACAAGAGAAAAATGAATCGTTTGCGATTTCCGTAAAATGTTGATGTTTACTGACCGGTTTGAAAGTCTCATCCAGCCTCTGAAAGATTAGCTTGATTTTTTTAAACAAAAAATGAAGAAAAAAAACGTTTATTTAACGCAAGCGCTACTTCAAGGCGTTATAGTATCAACATCTAGAGTCTTAGGACTGACGACCTTATGACGATGAGTAATCAAACAATGACATGGGAAAAAAGACACCGACATTCTATTACAACATGAGCGTTTATTATTTATAGGTAGATAAAGTGATAGTTTTTATTATAATTGATTTAACAGAACGTGATAATCCAGCCTGGTCAAGTGTCGGCATTCATTTGTGCCCATTGCCGTGGAAAACGGCAAATAGACATTGGTAAAAGTTTTTAACCTTTTCACATATATCGGATCCTCTGTTCTCCTTACAGTTTTCAGGCATAGCGTTCCACATTTTTTCGGGAAAGTTCTTTTGCATTACATTTCCATCTTCGTCAACAAATCCACGGCCCTTTATCACGCATAAGACGTTCTCGCAAACATTCGGGTCATCGGCTTCAGACGGATATATTCCTTGCTTTAAACTTTCAACGGTCTCTTTTGAAACAGGGAATTTCTCTTCGCAAATTTTTCTCATTTCCAGTAAATGTTGAATATCCTCTTCGAACGGATTTACCTTAAACGACACCTTGGATTACAACCTTGTAATTTTTGGGACGGTTTTTAATGAGTGGTAATTAAAAAACATAATGTAACTCTTTTATCTTAGTTTAGCCTGGCGCCTTGAAACTGATTCGGTATTTATAACTTCCTCAGGATGTTACAGGACACATGAACATTGGAAGTGTCCTTCAAAATGTTTTAGGTGTTCTACATAACCCTCCGAAAAAGCTACAATTCTTTGATACATTGTACTTCATGTACTTTTCTATCTATTCTAATTTTCACACAGTTAAAGATACTTTAGGATCTCATGAACCTTGATCTAAAATTGCGGAGCATCAGAGTATATTGACCGTCACTCTTTACAGTTTCTCTATAGAGAGCTCCATCCGTGTGGTTGTTTTCGTAATATACAATATGAATGCAGTAAGGATCATTTTGAGCCAATGAGATTTTGAAAGACCTCTACCTACACAAAACAATGGCCTAAAAATAATGCATATCTTATTAAACTTACCTCTTCAGCAGCAACATTACCCAAGAACAATGCTACCAATACAATAAAACCTAAACGAAACATTGTTGTGTTCACGCTACTTCTTGTTATAAATGCAGGACATTAAGACAGATCCCCTATAAATATGTAAAGTTGCTGAGACCTTGCCGGACTGTACCATTTTTTCATTATCCTTTTTTTTATATGATTTGTAATTGCTGTATAATCATCTACAATAAAGCACTATAATCGCTACAATGTATGTTGGTACGTAAATTACAGATAATTTTTCACACCAGTACAGTAAATTTTTTAATGTCATATATCAAAATTAGAAAAAAAACACTTGGAGATTCAGTTCGACGAACACGAATATTACGAAATATTCTGTCTAGTACGTAAATTACAATGTTATTAAAGAGTAGTTTGAAAAGTAACAACAACTGAATAAAGTTAGCAGATAAATACGTAAGTAAAATATTATTAAGATTAAGTGGTGGTAAACTTCTAGCAATTTGAAAATGGTAACTGACATGGACAGTGGGCGCGGCGGAAAATAAAAGGTTAGAAGCTTTCGAAATGTGGTGTTATAGGCGAATGATGAGGATATCGTGGGTAGAAAAGGTTAGAAATGAAGATGTATTGGAAAGAATAGGAGAACAGAGGACTCTATGGAAGTCAATAAAAAATAGGCGAGATAGGTTGGTAGGACACCTTCTCAGGCATGAAGGTCTAGTCAGAGACATATTAGA